AAAGCACAAGTGATTAACCTATACAACAAACACTAGTACTATGACCGGTTTGAGACTAAGGAATGTACAGCATAATCAATTTTGTAACTTTAAGCAAGAGTTATTACTAAATTTGCATCAGTAAGTAGTTTTAACTGTAAATAAGTAAACATTATATCAAGGGAAATCACCCAGGAACACAAATCTACATTTAGATTATAGAGATCCTAGCAATGAAAATCAATTTGAAGCAGGGACATAATTATAAAATGATGATGAACCATCAGACAAGGACACCCACAGTGCATGGAACTATGGTGTTGCTACTGCTAAGTTCCGGCCAAGTTGGTACAATTCCATTTTTCACTGGAGCTCTAAGGTGCCAAGCACGACCAAACATCCTTTTTCTCACCGGCTGAGGTCTCTCGGTCGCGCCTAATTGCCGGAAGCTGGATGGCAACCTAATGTAGGATGTTGTAGTCTCTACTGTCTCTCTCCCATGATAACATGGTTCTAGAGTGTTGTATACGTTTAGATCAGCAATCAACTGCAATAGTAAGAATCATGAATAAGAGCCTAACTCTTCTTGGCTTTAATTCAAACAGAATTCGGTTGTACAGTTAGATTACCTCATTAACTTTGTCTATCAATTTCTGAATAATTACCATTGCACACATTTTTGGTCTCCTGCATATGAAGTCATGCGCCATTAAGCATATAAAACATGTTCAATGAACAAGTCAACTCGAAAGTGAGCCATTAAGGGAAGGCCTAGGATTGGTTTCTTGTAATATCTCTAACATGTCAGTGACATGAAAACCCTTTGGGCTTGCATGTGAACAAAGCACAATGCATTACTGTTCAGATTTAATTTTAATTATATAAATGATGGTTGCAAATATCAAATTAGTCATAATCACTCGGTAATGAAGGCTCAAATATGCCATTTCAAGAACCACTTTGACTCAACAGCTGAACTTCTTAAGCGAAGACAAGTGATTGGTTTTCACTGACAATATTCCATAAGTTTGATATAAAATTAAATTCTTAATTATTGAGATGATAATTATGACGAGCTCTTAAGTTAATTTGCTATGGTTGAGGGTTTTTTCTTAATCACCTCATACAATTCATCTGAGATAAGACCCATCCCATGTGTAAATGGAATAAGAGCATTGCCATCCATTTCGTCATCTGCAACGCCATTTCCTACCAAATACCCCTGCAAATTATGACTTTAGTTTGCAGCAACAAGCTTGAAAACAAACGATTAACGTAAAGATAAAGACCTTGAAATTCAGGTTGCGCTTCGCACCAGCTTCAATTCGTATTTTTTTAAAAGATTTGGGGGAAAAAAAAAAAGAACCTTAGTTGTGATTGTAACTCATGTTAAAACGGGAAATTCATGAGCAAACTTGTTACCTTTTACTACTTCATAAGCTAGTGTAGGTACATAAACTCCAGCATACGACTCTCCGGCGATGAAGAATGGGTTAGAAAGGAACTCAGGATAGAGTTCAAACCACTGTTTCGTTCAAGTTCAAGGTGGAAATGTGAGCAATTTGTAAACCATACAGAAGTACTGATTTAGATATTATATTGTCAAAATTCTCAACTTATTTCACTAGATACCTTAAGGAGAAAGGACTGTGACTCTGAAGCAGTCCTTAGGTCTCCAGTTGGGTAATCAGATATATTTTTAGAGTAAGAAAACCCCACCCCAGCTGAAGAATCCAAATATATGATGTTGGAAACCTATAATGCAAAGCAAAATAATGTATGCACAGATCAAAAAGACTATGAGAAAGGAAGGCAGTTATAGAATCATCCTGAAATATCACCAAGCAAAGAACTTGTTCTTCTCTTTAGAGGATAAACCATGAATCAAATGAAAGGTAAAAGTGTTTAGACCTTTGACCAACTGTAGGGTTTGAGGTGCAATGTGGGAATGGATCCCTTGGTTTTGGCCTTTTCAAAATTGAAAGGACCTGAAATATACCATGAATTAGTCAAATATAACAAACCAACAATAATAAATCAAGCATATTATTCTATTGAATTTTTTTAAAAAGAAAAACCAGGTTTCAGAAAATACAGAAGCAACAGAATTATTTGCTGTTGGTTTGTGATTTTGATTTCTGATGGATGTACGGAAACGACAGTAGGGCAGTTTCCTTATTTAACTGCTAAAAGATGTTTAGATTCCTCAATCTAGCTAACTATTATTAGGGTCAATTAATCAAAATCCACATTTTGGTATCCTGATTGAGAAACAAACTAGCCCAAAATAGTTCCTACAGTTAAAAAAACAAAAGGAAAACACAGAAGCAATGGTCTAACACAGCGCAGACCGTTTCCAAGCTCCAACTCTGCAAGGTCACCCAAAGTGATCATTATAAACCGGTGCACAAGGCTCCCACCGGGTAAAATCTAAGGAGGAATAGATATTCGGAGCCTTTATCTAGGCTATTGTCAGGATTTGAACCTATGATTTTTAGGTCGCATGGTAACATCTTTACCATTGCTCCAAGGCTCACCATCTACCCAAAAACACTACCGATATCAAAATAAAAGGCCATTGTGGGAATTGAATCATTACCATGCTCATACACAAACCCATCAAAGCTAGAGCACCCGGGTCCACCGTTGAGCCATAAAACCACTGGATCCTCAGATGGATTTCTTTCTGATTCAACAAAGTAGTAATACAGGTTCCTCCCTTGACTTTCATCCACAGTCACATAGCTTCAACATTTCAAAATGAGACACAAGCAAATCCTCCATTGGTCAATTGAGGGGGAAAAAAAAGTAAAATCCCATTCAAAAGTGGGAGCAAAAAAGCTAAAATGGATGAAGACAATGTATACCCAGCATAATGCTTTGAAGGTATAGTGCCACTGAATCCAGGAAGCTCTGTCACGAGAGCAGCTTCAGGAGCTGATTGGGTTGGCAGAGAACTCAAGAAAATGCTAAGCAAGACCATGTAGAAGAAGCAGACCACATTGTTTCTCGTAGCCATACTGTTTGATAAATGATATGAAGAAGCCACAGAACACAAATCATCATCATCATCATCATCAATATATATGCACAAAATATGGGTAAGTGATTCATTGACTTTTGTGAACGCATACCAAGAAGAAAACGATATTGTATAAATAAGTATATAGACATATAGATAGATGCAGACAAGGGAATTTATGGTGAAGATAAATAAAGACAAAAAGGTATGCGCAGCATAATGATGCTTGGAAGGCATAGTGCCATTGAAAATCCAGGAAGCTCTATCACGAGAACATCTTTGGGGCTGGTTGGTTTGGCAGAGAGCTCTGAAAACAATAATGCCATGTAAGATGAAGTGGAAGAAGAGGACCACAATGTAACTGTTTGCTAGCTGAAGCTACAAAACACAAATAATTGTTCTTTTTTGTTGTTTTATTTTTCTGTACTCAATTAATCTGTTCTCTATGTAACATAAACGTTCTAATAAATCATATTATCCATTGGACAATGAGAATATATAGGACTAATTTCTAAACTTCATGCATGGATGGACTCACACTAATTCTTATAATAGTATTAAATTTATACTGAGCAGTACCATGAAAACTTAATCAATATAATTTATCTCATATTACTATGAGTTTTCTATTTATAGAGTCAAAAAAATAAGTCATATTATTCATGACTTATTAATTAGATAACTAAATTTTTCATATTATGCATGGATAATATACATATATGGATATAAAAAAATTTGGATAATAAACAAATTACACTGTTATAAATATAAAAAATTGTCTTATAAATATTAAATTTCCTGATATTTATTAGCATTAACTGAAATTTAAATGATCTATTTTTATTTCATTTTCTTATCTGAACATATAATGTTTTTATAAAAAAAAAATTTTAAATAAAACTCTTTTTCTTAATTAAGCATATATATCTTCTTATTGGAGCATTATTTGAGACACTATGGAAGACTGAAACCTTGATTTGCCAAAGTTATAAGAGGCTAGTCCATTTTACTAGATTCAACTTCCATTGATAATTAAAAAAATTTTCTTTTCATTTAAATTCCCATAAGAAAAAGCATTGGTCCTTTTCAATCTGGTCCCAACTATTAAAAATGAAAGGTCTATAGTGGTTCCGTGGGAAGGAAAAAAAATAACCGGAAAGGTCCATGGTGGAAAAAGGGCTAAAAAGTTAAAAACCAAAAGAGATTTAAAAATTTTTTAATCATTTTTAATTGGAAAAATGACAGAAAAATACCTATTAAATTCCCAAAAAATAAATAGGTCATACTGAGGTAATGATTTTAACAAGTCAAAATATGTTAAAATCATCTATTTATCACTTTGAAATTCAATATCCTTCTTATTTTCCCTTTTTAATTGGAGGACGATTTTTCAACTTGTTTTTTTTTTTTTTGGGCCAAAAGCCTCTCCGTTCTAGAGAGTGAGACGCTATCATTTACCTGGGTTTTGAACTTTGGTTGGAATATGTCAATTCATAAAAGAAATTGATGAATACATACATACATATATATATATGTAAGTCCCACTGTTCGTATTCTCAAATTGACATGTGTACTCCTTGTGCCTTGGGAAAAAAAATAGACATATTTTAGGAAGAATGATGAATAAAGATTATGAAAATTATAAAATTTCAAATAAGAATTTGTTACAACACTTTAACAAGTTATTACAGCAATTAATTTGAAAATAACAATACATTTTTGTAAAAATATCTTATTTGTCATTTTCCCCTTACTTTATGCAAAGTAAGCCAGTCTTATTCTTCAAATAATAACAAAATTTGAACAAAGCGTTAACAAATAAGGAATCAATCCAACCATTTCTATATGCTAAAACTATATAATAGACATGTTCATCATGTATGAATATCACTTGCAAAGCATTGCAAAAGGGGAAAATGGAAAGGATATCTATAGTTTACAATTACTTACTTTTACATTGCACATGCTGATTCTTGCTCAACATGTTACATTCTTACAAAAAAAAATTTCTTTTTCCGTAATTGTGACTATAAAATTTGAAATGATCATTTTCATATTACAAATCAAGCTTGATCCCATTACAGGTTATGAAACTCAATTACAAAACAAAATTCCCAAGAAATGCTAACAATAACATTAATAATATTCTTCTATGTTTAATGCAGAGAGATGATGCTGCAGAGAACAGGAATTTGTGAGACTGTTCCCTGCAGAAGAGAAACACACCAAAGAACTCCGTTAAAGGGAAACGCATTACAAGTAAAATATAATATACTTCCATGAAATCCCTGATTAATCTAAAGCAAACATTATAAAGAAATAGCTAGACAAATACCAGCTCCGATCTTTAATATAAAAGCTCTTTTGATTTTTATTTTGATTTTAAATATAAAACCTCAATTCACTTTGTTTCTTATATTTATTTAATTTTTTTCCTAAGGTAGTCCATGTAATTATAATAATTCTAACCAATACACTTTATTAGCAAGGATATTTTAGGAAAGACAATACTTATTTAATAGAAAAAACTAACTCAACTAATTTTTTTAATCCATTCAAATTAGCCAACCAGTTCTTATATTAAATATCAGAGGTAATATAATAGAAAAGAAGACTGTTTTCAAACCAAAGTAAATGAAGATAGAGGTTCAATCTGAAGATTGAGGTTGTTTTCTGAACACTTACTTTTGTAGGGATGAAAGTAAACCACAGTATATTGCATTTTCAGGCGAAGCAGCTTCCGTATCTTTCATTTCTGGGTCTACAATTTGGACATAAAGTTCTTGGCCAAGATGCCAAGAGTTGAGATTCTCGGCACGAAGGTTCCAAATACCAGGATTGTCGAGATAAACTAAAATGGCTGTCCAAGCCCCAGGAAAGACCTAGAGACATGTAGCAAATAAGTCGTTATCTAACATATTAAGCCACATTCATCTCTCATTTTGCTTGACGTTGCTTGTGAATATTTCTGAGACAGCTAACAAGAAAGTTGACGCAGAAGAAAAAGGGAATAAAGAAAAGGAGTTTCCATCAACCAATAAATGACTAACAGCAAGAACTGAGATGCATACTTAAAACATATCGGTTAAATTCACGAGTTGGAGATAAGCGGACTCGAACTGCTGACATCTGCCATAGGGTAAACCACCGCCTCCCAGGCCCCTGACTGATTCTACCGCCAATAATAGACAATACCCCCAGGGGGGAATACAACTTTTAACACCCCCCCCCCCCCCGGTTTGTATACAAGCCACTTTTAACCACTTTATACAGATCAGGAATGTTTGTTAAAGTTACCCGGAGTTCATGAGTTGAACTATTCAAAAATTACAAAAACTTTCCCAAACTACCCTTACTAAATTGTGATCCATCTTAATTATATTTCTAATTTTCTATTAATCTCTCCCCCCTCCCCACCTCCACCATCTTAATTGGACACTATCATAAAGGGATTTGGATTCCCTCGATTGAAAGATATTAACTATCAGATTGTAATTATGAAGATTATTGTTTCATGGGAAGTAGAGCAGAGAGATTGATAGGAAACCTTCAAATTACAATAGATTAGGCAGGATGGAAGGATTTTTGCGTTAAATCTATAACCAACCTCTTTCTTGTCATCATACCCCTTTCTTGTTAAAATGGAAAATGGTCAATTTTGATCACACCCACAAGATAATTTCGTAAACGAGGAAGGAGTACCTGTGTAGTTGAGCGAGCCACACCATCCCACTTGTTATATGTGCTTCTGCTATTTTCTGACCATATTCCAAAATCCATGCTGCAATCCAAATGAGAAATTAACTCTCATTTGAATACTAAAATTCAGAGAAGATTTAAAATAAAAATAAAAAAGTAGGTACAGTTTTTTGCTGTTTGTTATCAAGTTCTTCAATAAAGCCTGACACATAGATCGTTTTTACAACCATGGCGAGTCTTATAGAAGTTAAAAACTTTTATCCACTTCTTACATTTAGACTGAAGAACCTTGATAGCAGACACCTAAAGAACTTTACCTTAAGTCTTTTCCTTAAAAACATCTTAACAAAAGTTCTAAAGCCAAAATCTTACCCAACAACAAAGAATGCATAGCCATCCAAATGATAGGTCTGCACTGTAGTGTCATTGTTTTGGAAGATTATCTCAATAAATGCTTTGTAAGTAGCATTGATCAGAGAGGTATCAACTTTTGGAGGTCTGTTCATCAATTTATTTGGAAAATCAAGCTTGTACACCCCTAGAATTTTATATTGCTGTGCTAGCGTCAGGGGTGTTGAAGGAGGTAGATACGATATCCCATTGAGGGTAGTACGCCACTTTCCATTTACAAGCTCTGGAGGTCTGTTAAGAATAACATAAACATCTGTGACAGTAATATCACCATATCTGAAAGATCCCTGCGGGTTTGGGCGTGCAGCACCAGCTGATACATTCCACCTATAACATACCATCATCAAATGCGAAACTGAATGGTCCGGATCCATATGAGAACAAAATAGTCCTATACCTAAACTCAAACTGAAATGAAATAGCATTCCTAAAATGGGAAAAGAAGAAATGTAAACCTTATCGATCGTGCTTGATTTATTGAGAAAGAAGGATCATCTTGATCAGAAAGACTGGGAAGAGGACCTGAAGCAGGTCCCTGGGAATTAGAGTAATGCAAAATGGCAACTCCAGTAGCTTTAGCCCAGGAAGAATTAACAAATCGAGGACTTGCTACAATATAGTAGTCAGTGGTGGCATTTTGGTCCATTGTAACCAAGAACGAATATGACTGACCCACATGAATATCCATGCTTGCATAGTTTTGCTGAACCGTATATGAGCCCTCAGTCTCCACAAGAATCAAGTTGTGATTTTGTATCCTAAAATTCAAGCTAGTGGAAATACCAACATTGTGCACCCGTAGTCTATATGTTTTCCCTGTTACACACAGAATAATAAACAGATGATAATCATCAAGCATGTTAAAAAAGAATTGCATATGCATTTTATCAGATTCATTTTTAATTTAAATGCATCATATAATCACAGCGGAAATTATACATTCATTCAAATTATTTCTTATTTTACAGCACAAAAATATAAGCCCTCCTAGTTTTATGTGAGCTCTAATTGTCCCAAAGACTGGTTTTTTCATTTTGGAAAGTAAACATTATAAAGATAAATGAACATCCTAATCACTACTGATTTGAAGCGCAAATCTATGGAGAAAACATTGACATCTTAGACATATTTTGACATAGACTGTGGGTAACATCCCCTGGTATGAGTTGAGATGTGCCTAACAATTAAACGGACAGAAGAATAAACAAAGACATAATTGTAGAGTAAATTACTCATGTGCCTTCCACACACCAAAAAATACATACACACACACACACCCACAAGCCCAAATAGAGTAGATTTTGAGACTCTAAGCTAAAATCTCAGCAAATGAAGAAAAGAATAACAAGCCCATGAAATGAATTTAAATGGGCTTATGGGTGCTTTGAATTCCCCTCATAAAAGCCTAGCCAGTTATTTACCCTTGCCTAGCAACTACTAGTAAAGAATTTTCATTAGTTGCATCTCGCATCAACCAAATACCTTCTTGAGCTGCCAATGTTATTTAGCAGTATTCCTCCTCCCAGTCTACAATGTTACAGGTGGCTTGCACCAAATATGTCTCTATATCTAGTTGATAAAGGGTGGTAGGAATTTTCAGAACCTTGTTCTACAACATACCTTGTGTTTTTCTCAGAAGTTATTTTCTTCTCTCTTTTCCCTTTTTTTTGGGGGGGGGGGTGGTTGGGGAGGGGGCCGCTCTTGGATCGACCAGAAAAATTCTCTTCCCCCCCCCCCCCAGCAAAGGACAGAAACTCTATTTCAGAAGTAACTCCTAAAGTTTTATCAGATTCTGCGGTCTATCTTTAGTCGTATTTGAATTCTGCTCAGAATCAATTATCTTTGCTTGAAAGGGTTTTCCTTGGAATTATCCTAATCCATCCTAGCATAATACGGGTTGTTCCTTTCAAACTAGAGTATACTTAGGACAGGGATAAATCTGCTACTTGCTGATCCTGTTTTTAGGAGCTACTGAATTTCTTGGCCCCCTCATTAAAGGGTAATGCTTTACTTACTTTTTGGTGATAGGAAGAGGTTTAAAGGAAATAAATACAAAATCAAAGGCATATAAAATATGGAAGGGAAGTTGAAACAGAATGGTATGGAATGAGTATATTGTAACAGTATAAAGCCATTAAACAAGACAGATAATATGCATGTCCAAAATTCTTACCTGGTTCAACATTTATTATCTGGTAAGAAATGCCACCAGGGACAAGTGTGTCATCATAGCGGTAAGGACCTAGACCATTAATAAGCACGCCATCAGGGATTCCAAGGTCATGTCCATCTTCTACATCTTTCCTGAGCGCCTGAATAAAAACAAGCATTGGTCAACACCTCTGAATGAACTGACATAATTACAAAAATTAACAACAGAAAGCAGTGAGACCTCGTGACTTTTGGTGTACCAATCACTCAGAAGTATTGTAATATCACCATCTGGCAATCCAAAGGGAACAGGAATAACAGGTCGGTTGTTTATGATAATTCCACCATATCCACCTGCAGCTCTTTGAAAGTTTAGGGAAGGGAAGTAGAAAAAGCTCCCTATCTGATCTTTGACTTGAAACTCATATGTCCAATTCCAGCCAGCAGGAATTGGACAGTTAGTTCCAGAAACTCCGTCTTGCCATGAGTTTCTCCTGTGTTGTAAGCCATTCCTGCATTTAACTATTCAGCATAATCACTATCATCATCATCCTTACTAATTATCATCATCATTCTTGACAGAATACATTTGTGTTACCATGTCAGGAGTAATGGCTCATCAAGGTCATTCTTGACATTGACAACAACGTTCCAGTTTGTGGTGACATTCACTACTGGTCCAGGAAACTGCCCATTGATCCCAATTACCTGAAATTAAGATTTCAGATTAGAACTAGAGAAACGAAAGCTTACAACTGCTTACCCAAAAAAAAAAAAAAAAAAACCTCAAACTTCAAATTTTTCGAAGAACTCATAATACACAAGAAGGTGGCTCTGCACAGAAGTGAATTATGCAACTTGGAAACCCTCAAAGCAATTGTGAGAGGTCTATGTAATAAGTCTCGTGACAATTTCTCACTTGTGAAAAATTTTCATTATTAATCAGTAAACAGTTGACTATAACAAAATCCAATAAAATTTCTCACTCGTGTTAAAAAATGAATTCTACAACTTGAAACCTCATAGGAGTGTTCCTTCCTGTCAATTATGTAATACATTCCCATGGACAGAACGGAATCTGTTTGATTACATCATCATGGAATTCCATAATCACAACTAAATGCAAATTGAACTCAGAAACTCGTAATTCATTACAATGAATTTGTCATTTGGTTAAAATCCCAAGCTCAATTGCACCGAATCGAATGAACCAAGCCGACATTGCATGAAGCAGTAATATAAAGTGTCGATTTCGCTCTAAAACATAGTAGTAAGAGTTTGAGAAGCAGAAGCGAAAGAGAAACTACACCATACTTGTAAAAGTAACTAGGAGAACTGCCAAGAGATGTGAAATGGGAAGAAAAGCAAACCTTTTGTTTAACTCCAAGAGGGGAAGCTGCAATGTAGGAGACAGTCCAATCGTAGAAAACAAAAGGGTCTCCAGCAAAAGCAACGTGTAAGAAGCACAGAAGGGTTGTGAAAAACCAAGAAGATAGTACAGGTAATGGCATCGGATTTCTCCGTTTATGTCTTCCTGGTATCCTTTTCTCAAGTTTCTGTGCACAGAGAAAGAGGAAGGGGGGGAGGGGGAGAGAGAGAGAGAGAGATCCCAAGATGAAACAAAGTTGGCAGTGTGAAAACTGAAACGCACATGTGCTAGAGAGTTCTCTTCTGCAAATTGCTTCTGCCGCTCTGTTCAGCAATGGGCCCCTCTGTTTTCACACACCCGCCGAGGATGGCGGGCCTCATCTTGTCTTTAATTACTCTGTTGATCATTGCTAAAGCTCGTTGCTTTATAATCTGTCTTGTTCTTTTCATTTTAACCAACATAATCTGTCTTGTTTCATCCATGAATAAACGAAATACTATATTAAGTAAAAGCAATCATTCCTCTTGATCACATATATTCATAACACAAAAATGAAAGCCCAGGTGATAAAAGAGATGCCTTTTCCCTAAACCAACAGTAACACAGTGATCCGTTTGTACTTTGAACTAAGCTAATACACATCCATTCTTCATAGAAGATGCTGTATAACAAAAGCAACTCATTGCTACAATTTACGCGTGTAATCTATTTTACTGGATGAGATGATGGATCTGATCATTGACAATTTGCGGTGTGTGTTTTGCTTTTTATGGGAGAGGTGGTGTCCCCACTTGTTTTGAATGAACTGTTTAAAATTTAAATGCATCTTTAAAAGAACTCCGATTGCTATCATAGTCAAAAGAGAATGGGAAGAAAAGAAGAAAAGAAAAAAAAAAAATCAGGTTTTGGGTGGCGTGGTCGCGGATATGGTTCAGGTCTTCAACTATTGAGTTCGCATCCAGCTCATTCTCTGAATAAAAAATTTGAGTGAATTATAAATATTTATAACTTATATTATTGCTCATCCTCTCTCATCCCCTGCTGGCCAATTTCTCACCCCATAGCTATTAGCTAGGTTTCTTGCTATTCCTTCCAATCCAGCTTTTTCCCATTGTCCATGTTTTCACTTGCAGAAATCATGTGTTTAGGTCTAAGTAAATCGCATTTTAAGTATAAAAGACAAATTGTAAATAATCCCATTTTTGGACTTGTAGATTGGAGATATTTCGCTTGTGATAATTACTATTATTTGTAAATACTTGAAGATCTGGGAAGTTTACCTGTATATAACATGAACAGTATCGAAAACTACTCTCAAATGCAAGAACCATAATCACAACGTATAAAATACTAGTACCATTTTAATTATAAGAGCTAGTTGATTAATTTGAGGAGATTAAAAAAAGAAGTTAAGTTAGTTATTTGTAACAAATATGTGTTGTTTTTCTTAAAATATAATTGCTAATCTAGTATATTGGCTAGAACTACTATTGTTAGAAGGACTATTTTGAAAAAAAAATATATAAATATAAAAGAAGAAGTAGATTCAAGGATAGAAAAAGATGATTACTGATTTAGATTTGTAAATATCAGTACTTTTGAGCTTTAAATACCTGAATATCGATAGAGGTCTAGCCCAAACTGGTTGAGAATCACCCACAATTTAATTTACATGTTAAAACTCCACTGTCACTTGCAACTTGTGCCTTGTCGCGTCCTTGTTAAAGCTGTTTAAAAAGATTTAAAAACAAATACAATAACCGATCCTAATTTGGAAAGAAAAACAAGTGGTCTGAACAAAAAAGGCCATCATATGTACAAACACCTCTCTCAGTAAATTTTCCCTCCTTATTTCCCTCCTTATTTCTCATAAAATTCTCTTTACAAACAGAAGTTTAATGACTAAATTATGCAGTCTAAAGAATAAATAAAATTAATTAAAAATAATAAATATATAAGAAATGAATTTTTTAAGCATGTCTTTATTTAAAAGGAACAAGTAAGAGAGAAAAAGTATGAAAATAATATAATAAAATTTTTAATTAATATAATATATAAAATTAATTAGAAACAAAAATAATAAAAACTTACAAACCTACTCCTCCGGTCCTTAATATAAGACCCATTTAACTAATTTGATTATATTAAGGAAATTAGGTAAGTTAGTTAATTATAAGAAAAATGATACATTTTTCCTAAAATACCATAGTCATCTTTCTTAATACCTCCTCTCTCTTATACTTAATTATGGTTGAAGGAATATCCATAGGGGTAATTTAGAGAAAATTGATAAATATGAGGAATGGGTCTTATATTTAGAACCAAAACTAACTTAAGAATTGGGTCCTATATTAAGGATCGGAGGAGTATTATTTTTAGCTACTATTTTGAATATTTTTGTTTTTTTATTTTTGTAAAAAGATAAAAAGAAAAAACTCTGTTGCTCCACTTCGCGGCTGCCTCCCCCTTTCCTCTCTACGCTCTAAACCCCTAAACCCCCCAAAATTCTGATCCTATTTCCTAATTCGTCTGTCTCTCCAAGCTCTTCGGCATACGCATCGAACTTTGCTGCTGCTCGTGACCTCGTCTCCTTGCCGCTGCTGTCGTTCCTTTCAGCTAATATTTTCTGGTATTCTGGCCTTTTCTTCCATTCTGGTTTGTAATTTTGTATCGAATGAGTTTTGCTGTTTTGCATATTTGGAATTGAATTCTAAGATATCGTGATCTCTTTATAATGGCCAGATACTCTAAGTAAGAACTTTAGATATTACTGGACCTTAATCATATTCTGGCCTATAGTTATCAGTATTGCCATGATTATACTCTGATAATGCTGTTATGTGGTCCTCTTTTATATTCTTTCTACGAGCATGCAATGTTGATGTTTGCAGTCACCATAAAGTATGCATTTTTCACGTAATTTATCATTGTTTTTAGTGCTGTTATTCTAGCGTTTTGTTTGGAGTTGTTCCAGAGTCCTTGGACTGATATCTCAGAGCAATTTGACGTTTTCTCGAAGAGTGCCTCAAATGTCACAGGGCTTCCTGGCAGCTGCTTGGTTTTACTAGTTTTGTTATGAATTAGATTTTTTTTTCTTTCAGGTTTTTGAAGTTTGTTAGCTGTATCAAATATAACACTTTTGAGTTGATTTGGAAAGCCCTGTCTTAGCGAAAAGTTCTGCAGAATCGTCAAAAGCGAAAAGTTTTGCAAAATTGTCCCCGAAAAAAAAAAAGGGGCGTTCTTTCCTTCCTTTGTTGGCTATTCTCCTCCATCCATACATGAACTTACCCACTCTCTGGGGTTTATTGGTCAAAGCCCCAAACACAAGGGTTTTCTGTTTCTTTTTTTTTTTTTGAATCCCTGGTGCTAGATTTAATTCTATTTGTGGTTTTTAGTCTTCGAAAGCAACTTCTGATGCCCATTTGTAGGGTTTAAGGGGAGGTAGTGAAATGGCCAGCTATCTCTGGAGGAAGTATTCGGACTATTTGTACACAAAGTGGGAGAGAACCATTCTCTGGGACATGATCGAGCCATACAGAAGACCCAAATCCTTCACTCCTTTGGTGACCATTTACATTGCAGCTTTCTACACTGGAGTCATTGGGGCTGCTATCACTGAGCAACGCTACAAGGTTCTATTCTCTTTCCAATATAATTTTGGGCAGAGGGTTTTGTTTTAACCCAAATTTACCTTCTCTTTTTGTGTGTAGTCTTTTGCTCAGCAATGCTGTGGTTTTGTTGATACTGTTCGGTCATCACAAGAAAAGTGCTAATAAAGTTTGGCTGTTACGAAGAACTATGGGAAATAATAAGTTTTGGTGCTTAAATATGCTGGTACATTGAAGTTAAAATCATTGTTGTAATCATCACGCGTGTGGATTATATAGCACGAGTGTTCAACAATCAGTCTTCTAATGCACATTGCTTTGAATTCCACTCTTATAGCATAAGCTTCATATCCTGCTTTGGCTTGTCTGGTATTGTTGGTTTATTTCTATCTTTATTCTTTGATAAAAGTGGTTTTTTAGTACCCTTGTGTTTATCTCCTCGGAACTGCTGGCTCAAGGGAAGATGGTTTGGTTTCACTATTGCAAACAACATAAAGCTCTAGCACTGTGCTGTTTTTGCTGGATTATGGTGTCAATCATTAGAACAGAATGCATGGTTTTCTAGGAATTTTCTTCTTTAGTGGAGGGTTTTTTTTTCTGTCCTCAATATGCATTTCAGCAAATGGCTCCCCCCCCCCCCCGGGTTATATCCTTGTGAGCTATGTGGGATTGGCAAGTTTTTTTGAGTTAATGATTATAGTTTTTACTTGCTTGATGGTTGTCTTCCAATGTCCATTGATGTGTTAATTTCCTTTCTCATTAGCAAATTCTCGTGCCGAGATGCGATCTGAAAGTGATCATGTTTTACTTTTCCATTCATGGCAGCAGATAAGTTGTCTGATAATCTGCCTTTTAATGATAAACATTATAATATATAGCTTACAATGATAAACATTTTTGGTCCGAAAAACTCGCTTAAGCATTTATGATAAAATTGTGGCAATGGTTATCATTTTGGATGGAAAATCATATGCTTGGGTTAGCATTTGCGTATTGTTTAATGCTTGTTAGTATATCATGGAAGCTTATTCTAATTACTGAGTAAATTAAGAAGTGATATTGTCACATCACAGGAAAAATACTGGGAAGAGCATCCCGGGGAAGCTGTGCCTCTCATGAAACCACAATTTTATGGCGGTCCATGGAGGATAATGAGGGGAGAGGTTCCTCCAACTGGGTGAAAATCTCTGAAGGCTTGTTTCGTACCTTTTTTCCTATCTACCTCGTGTTCCTGCTGTTGTACAAAATTACTCAGTTTTGCTGTTTTCTAGGCACTGTTTAGAAGACTCTTTTCATAGTATAATATCAATATAAAGTTACTTAGGCGTTTATTGGTTATGACTGGATTTTTTAATCAAAATGTGGTTTATAATGTGACTATTATGATACAATCAGTCATATATTACGGAAATAAGAAAAAGGTTCAGTGATTAAAGGAATTGATAAATTGGAAATGTACAGTGTAAACCATGATTTTTGCTTGTATATTCCTTTGTCTTTATTACAAGGGATTTCCAATATTTTCATGGATCTTAAGAGAAGGTTATTGTGTTGTTAAATTTGTCTAAAGATATGTTAAGATTTTGATTATGCACAACTTTTACTCACAATTTATAAGATTAACCACGCATTATGATTTAGAAGGACAAAAATGAATAACATATAAGATAATGTAACATGACATAGTATATTTTGTACGAAAAAAGTCTTCTGACAAAATTTTATGATAAGGATTCAAAGAAAGCACCTATTTTATAGGTGCTCTGTATTACCTTACATGTTTAGCATATTGATATTGATTCACTGATCACTCATTCAAACCTGTACTGCATCTATCTTACCCCTCATTTACAAGCTTCTAGTGATGTTCCAAATTTTACAAATTTCTTAATTCTGTTTATGGAGTAAATAAAGTGCCAAGCTTTCGGTATTTACAATAACAGTTTGCAACAACCCATGCCCCCTGCCTATAAGAAGAGGACAGGTTGAAAACAATAGTTATTTCAATACTGCATTACAGCTTCTGATCTGCTGGTCTGTAAGTCTGTAACCTTGTGCTTTTTTCCCTTTTAATAAATATGCAACCTTATACTGCCTAATCAAGGTCATCAGACTCTAAAACGACTTACTAAATAAATTAATAAAATTTATTAAGTTATAATAAATAAATATTATTTTTTATAATATTATTAATTAAAATTACCATTTGATAAAACTTTTAATATTTATAATTACTATAAAAAATTATTTTAAAAAAATAAATAAATATAAAAGACTGAATTAGAATCTTATATGTAAAACCAAATTAAAATTTAAACCAGTTCTTATACTAATTCTCACCCCCCAGCACCAGATGTTATATACCCAGCACCATATGTTATATAGAACTAAATACATATAAATATTAGCTCGGATGGGAGGTTCCCTTCCAAACAGCGGACCGATAAAATCCTTCGATGACAAGTCAGTAATCTCAAACTTGAATTCGACAGGGCAGTGAAACGCAAGATGTGTTCTCTACCCTTCCTCGTACTTGCAGAAGACGCAAGCTGGATGCAAGCGTTGTTTGTTCTCTCTAATGCAATACTGTCCTCTGCCAGCCTGCCTAACCAACCACTTGAATTGTGGCGGTGTTTGTATTCTTTCATTGGAACCCCCATGGGGTGTTTGTTAGGATATGTTTACTTATAATAAGGATTGTTTTAAGAATATCATTGGCTGTTCCTCGTCCTCCGATGATGAATGTCCTCTGCCAATAGACGCATGCTACCCAATACGTATAACATTGTATTCTTCCGGTCATTAATATAAAACCTAATTCTTGAATTGATTTTGATCTTAAATATAAAACCCATTTTTCATATTTATTAATTTTCTCTAAATTACCCCTATAAATACTTTTTTAACAATAATCAAGTAGAAAAGAAAAAAAAATATTAAAAAGATGATTATAGTGTTTTGAAAAAATACGTAACTTTTTATATAATTAACTAACTTACCTACTTTTTTTAATCTAATCAAATTAATTAAATAGTTTTATATTAAAGACAAGAGAAGTACTATTCCATCATTCAAACATATAAAAGAAAATTAACGGTCAAGCATTTTGCAAAACTTATATGTTCGAACCCCAGGAAGAATCCAACTCTTGTATTAACCATGTCTTATTATTTCCATGTACTAATTTTTATGATTATCGTCTGTGATATGACTCGAGCATTGACATTCGAATAAAACAATTCACACGAACAAAACAGAACCGGAACACTAGTCAATGGAAAACAAAATTTATATTTAAAATTAAAAAGGTTTGCATTCGTTCTAAACTAGTTAAAACGAAATTATTAATTTGAAGGTGGAAATCGATATGTTAGGCTTAGCATTATCTAACAAGGAAGACATTAGTGAAGTTAAAATGTTGACAGCAGACGGCCATCATTCTTCAATAGATCTGAAGTTACAGAACCCAAAAGAAACAGAAAATATAAGAACATAACGACAACAAAAGATTGGAAAAAGCTTCCAGCTTGGAAGAGAGAGTAATCATATGGAGGTGCTCAGAGAATAGTAGAATGGAAGAGAAAGTTTTTCCACACGAAAAAGATCAGATTAACGAGATTATTTGATCTCATCATCATCGCACCTTCAAGTCGACTTCAGCATGAACAAGAAAACAGAAACCACAGAACGCTATCAAAGCTACAGACAAAGAAATTGAAACAGGCTAACAAAACCATCGCATTTAGGGTTTCCGACTTAACTCGTCGATTCTCGTACCTATACTTATAGCCACTGAACAGATCCTTATTGGGCTTCATCCCTTGAGCTACTTGGGCTTCCCAGATTGCCTTCAAAAAAGAAACTAGAAAGAAAGAAAATAACGGCATTTTTATTTAATTTCAATGCAATTAAATATTTTATGGAATAAATTAGTTTGTAATCGAATCAAATATTTAAATAAAAAACTATGAAAAAAATTGAAATAAAAAATTATATGAAACTTCTCGAAATATTGATTTTATTCCATTTCATATTTAACTTTCAAAAAGGACCCAAATTTAGTTAGTGAATATACTTTTTTTAAATAAATAATTAACTTATTTTTTTAATACCTAAAATTCTCAATTTCTTATACTGAAAATTGGAAACAGTACAATTTAAAAAAAAAATTTCATATTCTGTCTGAAAATTGGAATTGCAAGAAGTTTCACGGTTTCTTCTTCTTGGAAAATAAATAAAGTTAAGAAACGTAGACTTTTTGACCTCCTTTTTGTTGCCGGGCTTTTAAATATGAAAACCTCCCAAAAAGCAATAATGGAGCAAAAGCAAACAAAATCTGAAAGTAAAGCATCTTTCTTCTCAAGGAACCCAACCAAAAACCCTTCCAAGCAATATTTTTCTCTCTAGCTCTGCAACCCCAAACCCCAATCGCCGACATTCTGTTCCTCCATGGCAGAGTATATATCTCTCTCTCTCTGAGATTTCTTGCTTTACAATCAGCATTTTTTTTTTTTATATCAATTGTCTTTACGTTTTAATTCATTCTAAATCCCTTGTTTCTCTGTAATCTCGTGTTTTCCAGATCCGAGCAGTACCCAAAGGAGTATTACAACACGGAAGCCGTTCAAAGAGTCTCGTCTGATTCTTACTCTTCATCCACAACCAGCGTTCACGTTACTGCTCTCGATGGCCTTGTCAATGTCAATTCCCTTTTTACCATCGCTGTCTTCGTGGGTCTCTCTCTTACAACCCCCGGTCAGCGAAGTCTTGAGAATCGGTCCACCTGCGACGCCGGAATCGACGTCGCCAAGAAGCTTCTCGTCTTCGAGGTTGTCTCTTTCAGCTTCTTCCTCTTCTCGTCGTTGGTCGCTCAGGGCCTGAAGCTCGCCATCAACTTGCTTAATAGCAAAGACGTCGATGAGGCTTTCAGAGTACACATCAATCTCAAGGTTTTGAGGTTCGGCATGATGGGCTCCGCCATTGGATCCGTAATGGGTTGCTTGTTTCTGATGCTTTCGATGGTCAATGTGATCGAGATTCGGTTAGGGATGTTGTCCTGCGGCAGCAAATCTGCTACTCATGCCGTTGCAGCTTTGGTGATACTGGTTTCTTCTGCTCTTTTGATCTATATTTCGACTGCTATATATGCTTTTACGCACTAAGTTAACTCGGAAATAGCTAATTTTGTCTATACATTATTATGAAATGCCCTGGCTTTTGCTTGATGATGTAGAATTGAAATATGCTGGATTGTATTTTTATGTCCAACCCATGATTCTTCTTCTGCTTTGGAATTGCTGTGTCCTCCAGAGAGATATTGCTCAATTTTCAGTTTTTGAATTAGCAACACCTAGCATTATTCCTTCGCTTTTCTGTGAATTTGGTATTGATTGCTTGCGTGGGTGGTTAACAATTGCCCTACGTTTGGATGGTTGAAAATTAGGGAGAAAAGAATGGTAGGAGGAAAACCTCCCAATTTTAACATGTCACTCTTGCATTTACTCTTTTCTGAATCTTCCACCAAATTCTCAAGTTCATTTAAGTCCTTCACCGCATTACCAATGGTCAAGCAAGTATTGTTCAATCACTGACATGTTGGCTAACACAGATCCCACACAAGGTTGTTGGGTAAGTAGCGTGCGAGTAATGATTCTCTCTCTCCTTGATCTCTGTTTTACGCGCAGAATTTATGTGATTCATCAATGAGGATAATTTCATTTGACAAGAAGTTCTTGGAGGAGGAAAGGAAGGCCTGGGAGGGGAAGAGGACCTAGTACTAACAACTTGGAATTTGGCAAAGATCTGCATCTTTGAAAAGGTGGACTTAATTTAATTAAAAGTTATTGAAGGACCTACTAACAAAAATGATTTTGAAATGACTTAATACTTGCCTATCAGAAATACCTTTTTTTTCTTAAACAATGGTTATTGGGGAGGAAAAAAAGAGTTAAATTGTACTCTCTCCGCTCTTCTTTATTAGAGGCAAATAACTAATTCAGATTTCAGAACGACTAACAAAATACAATTAAAATTCATTAAAATCAATAAATATGCTACAAATATATTTTAAAAAACATTTTGATTGGATAATTGACTGGAGAATTTTAATAATTGATCATAAATATTTTTTTTAATGAGGATAAAAAATTTATTAGTGCTCTCAACGAGAGGTTTTTGTTTATCATAAATAAGACGATAAGAACCTTCTTAAGATTCTCTTATAGCTCGGCCTTGTTCAAATAGACTTTGTTTTATTATTCGGTTCTTCCATTAAGTAGGCCAAGCCTATCTTACCAACAAAAGGCGAAGCCTAAAACGGGCTGATCTATGTGGAAAAAGAAAGTTCCATGTCCACTTGTTATTATCTAACCCACGATTAACTTTAATGTTGTGCAACCAACAAGGATTGATACAGTTGGTAAGAAAGTCGGCTCATAACATATAAAATCGTGAATTCAAATCCCGCTGTCGACATGAAGATCTTGTTGGTGGGCGATTTTTAAATATTTCTGTAAGTGTTTTCTGAGACTATATGCATGTCCTGATCCTGGTGAGTCTTTGAGACCTAACTCATCTAAGCTTTTTTTATAGCAAAAAAAAAAATTAATGTTGTGCCAAAAAAGAGAAAAATAAAAAGGAAAAACAAAGTCAATAGCGGGCTATATGCAATGCTTTGGTTAGTAACGTGTATACCTGGATTACTGTACCGTTGTTTTATATGGTTCATGAATTCACACACACACACACATTTATGTTCCTAGAATACTGTAAAAATTAATATGATTCATGTATCCCAGTTTAGTGTATATAAAAGTGTGCGTGATTTATGTGTTAAGTATTTAACAGGGGATCATAGATTAATCTGTTCAAGAGTTAATATCTATAAATATATTTATTATCCTTTCAATAATCTTTAGTTCTCAAATATGGGAAAGGAGTGGGGGGCATGGAGAGAGGAGCTTAGGAGAAAGAATTAGACTCTTACGAGAGAATGTTGACTGAAAGAGACTGTTGAAACAGAAAAAGCAAGAGATATATTCTTTAAAGAATCAGTTTAAGCAGAAGGACGTGGGCTTTGGATAGTTAAGGCTGTGTTTGGGTGACACCTCAAACCATAGTTTAGGGAATAAATCACCCAAACACCTACCCAAAAACCAAAACCATGGTTTTGGAAAAAGCAAAAAAAATTTGCTTTTGGAGAAAAAAGGGAGAGTGTGAGAACCTATAAGATATGTATCTTATTATTTTTTTTATAAACATGTTTTTATAAACATATTTAATTTTATATTTTATAAATATATACATATTAATTATTTATTAATTATATTATCTTATGTATTATTAATTATGTTAATAAAAAATATATTATTAATAATTTTATTCCTTCAAATTAAAATATATCATAAAATCTATTTTTCCTGTAATTATCATATTAACTTATGTTTTTTTTTAGTAATTTGTATATATAAAAAGTGCTTCTAATAACAACTATCCAAACACTCTCACTTCTCAAAATCACTTTTTCATAAAATCTATTCTTTCCAGAATCTATTCTTCTCATAATCTATTCTCCAGAATCATTTTTTCAAACCACAGTTTGGTTTCATCCAAACACGGCTCGGATGACCACTAAAGCAACTGAACTCAGTAACTGAACTCACGACTAAAGTAATTGAACTTACTACAGAAGTTCGAGTTCTGCGAAGTCTTATCAAAACATGACATCTTGTGTGGGAAGTATGACGTGCGTGGCCAACTGAAAAAGAAAAACTATTAGCGCCATATATTACTCCAATTTTTAATATAAAAATTAGTTAATTAATTTAAATAATTTAAAGAAGTTTGTTAAGTTAATTATTTGTGATAAATATGTGTTGTTTTTTTAAGACATTTTTACTAATTATGTGTATTAGCTAAAATTATAATTTGATTAAATATTTAACATATACAATTATTACAAGGACTATCATAGGAAAAAAATAGATAAATATGGGAGATAAAACGTATTAGAATATTATATTTAAAACCAAATTAAAAATTAAAACAAATTCTTATACTGAGGAATAGTGGTAGTATTTCCCTAAAAGATCATGTCGGTGTGTTTTTGGAAGAACTATGTGAAAGTTGAGTTGTCTTCTCTCTGTTTTCTTTCATTAAGCAACGGTTGTGATAGCTTTCCGGTTTTTTGTTTTTTTTTGTTTTTACTCTCTCTGACGTTTATTTTCGGTACATGTTATTCTTATTTGATCAATGCACAGATTTTCCCTAGTTTTAACTTCTGATTTCTTATGGACTTTATCTATTGACTTCCTTGAAATCTACAATTTCAGGGGACAAATTATGTTGGAAAAAAAACAATAAAATACCCTCAAAATTATTAAATAACAATTTAGGGTAGATAAATTTCAAAATCCCAATTCAGATTCCAGGTAGTATTTTGGAATTTTCAAATCTTGTAAAATGATAACATTGTCCTTACTGTCGGTGACTACTCCCATATAGTTATTGACTACTTTATTTTAACTATTGATTACTTTTGTTTTCAAAGTTCCAATGAATATTTTTATATAGCTATTGACTACACAAGAGTAGTAAATCGTATTACTAGAATAGTCAATAGCTTAGCAAGAGTAGTTATCAGAATTTAAAAATAAATATAGTTAATAGCTAAAAAAAGTAGTCAATATATAAGAAAGAGTAGTCACTAGAGCTCCGTTGACTAGTTACTGGAGTTTCGGTAACGTGTCATCAGGGTTTAAAAATAAATGTAGTCAATAGCTAAAAAAGAGTAGTTAATATATAAGAAATAGTAGTCATCGGAACTCCGACAATCGGTCACCAGAACTCCAGTAACCGGTTGCCGGAGCTCCAGGGTCGCTAGCAGGGTAGTCAAGGTTGGTCGCGCAGCGGCCAGAATTGCTGATATGGCAGTATTTAAAAAGAAAAAAAGAAAAAAAAAAGGTATTTATGTAATTTTACAAGATTTGAAAATTCCAAAATAGTACCTGGGGTCTGAATTGAATTTTTGAAATTTAGATATCCTCTTTTATCATTCAGTAATTTTAAAGGTATTTTAGTGTTTTTTTCCCAATTATGTTTTATGTTATTTATATTATTTTGATTATGACTGGCTGTCAGATTCAAACATTATTGGGTGTTAGTCTTTTCAAAACGTTTTGTCCTGTGAATCGAATTTGAAACTTCGAGACGTTCTCTCTTATGAGTGGAAAAATTATAGTTGGGTTCTGTAACCCAACTAACGCTCAAGCATCTTTAATTTTTCTTACATGTACGGCATATGCCATATGATATGGTATGTGATTTTTGACCCAAACAAAAAAAAAGGAAAAAATTATTGTCTTATTTTCATATTCCCTTTCCTCCCTCGTAATAACCTTTTCTTTTCTCTGTTAGTTGTCAAATCACAATTTATCGTAGCAGAAAAAGAGAAAAGGTCAAAGAGTAATAACAAGAAAACAGCAGACATCTCATTCATATTATTTATTTATTTACATACTTACTTCTACATGGAAGCATCTTACATCATTTTTCTTGGTGAATAACATCAAACATCTTATTGTTTGACCCAGTCCACGAACTTAGCTAAATTCTCGAATGAGATACCCCCATCTCTTAAGTTATTGCTGATAATCTTCTTCAGCTTCATGGACCTTTCCCTTGAGCTTTCATCTTCAAGCAAGATGTCCACTTTTCTCTTGATTTCATGGCGAGAGATCAGTCCTTGATCATCAAAATCAAATCCCAGTCCAACTTTCCAGGCTTCACAAATATAAATCTTGTCAAAAAAATGGTCACCAAAGTATGGCCAACACAGAAAAGGCACACCATTGATCAAACCTTCCATGACAGAAATCCAACCACAATGACTAACAAAACAAGCTATTGCAGGGTGGCTCAAAACATCATGTTGAGGTGCCCAGTTAACAATTTTCCCGTTTTTGCCTTCAAACCCATCTGGGTATGTCAATTTTGAGTCTTTACCTTTGTCATTTTCCCTAACAACCCAAAGAAAAGGCCTCTGAGTAAGCTCAAGTCCAAGAGCTAGCTCTTGAAACTGGCTTGTATTGAACTCAGTGAAGCTGCCAAAGGCAACGTATATGACAGAACAAGGAGGCTGCTGATCTAGCCATTTCAAGCATGATTTGTCCTCCTCCCAGAATTGTCCAATTAGTGACTGAGTACCTGAGCTCTCATGGCTCTTCATTAATGGCCCAATGGGAAGGATCTTGGGGTATAAAGTGAAAGCTCCAGGCTCAAGTTCAAAAATGGTATTGCAAAGCCACCAATCTGTTAAGTTTGAAGCTCTTACTATTCTTAAAATGTAATTGAATATTATCTTTTGAGAGGCTGAGTTTCCTATACAACACCATGGAATGTGAGTTGTGCTCATCTTAGGAATATCTAGGGATAGCTCAAATTCTCCTTTTGCAATTGGGATTCCTACAGTGCCAAGAGACATCAACTTAGGTTAAAACATATACAAACAATATACCAAAGTTTTAAAGCAATAAAGATATGCATGTCAATAAATTAAAATCCTGAAAATCGGATTAGTTATTAAATCGGTCAAGACAATAACTTAAGGGTCAATGATCTAACTATGGTTGAATTAGCATCAACCAATCATTATTAAAATAATATAACTTAGTTAAAATATATAAAACATTTACAAGTAACTCTAAAAAGTGTTATTTAAATGAAAAAGTGATTAATTTACGAGTAAATGAAACATTCATATATAAACTACTCATAATCCAACAAAATAGAACTACTAAAGCACAAATTTGATGGATTGTTATTTAATCTTAATTCAGACTAGCTTCATTTCCGGTTTAAGGAAGTGGGAAATATAACATTCAATCCAAAATCCAAGACTCTTAATCTGACCAGTTAGGAAATTGGTTCACCAGTTCACTGGTCAGATTATCAAACTCAAATTGAGTTTTAATCTCATACAATGAATAGTGTCGTGTGAAAAAGAAGAAAGGGAAAAGATCATATAACCATTAGAATCTATGAGTCCATCTTCAATGAGCTTCGGCGCATGAAGTTTCAAGGCTAAAAGAGCTGCAGATGCAACACAGATGACAGCAGCTTTAATACCAAACTTATGTGCAACTTCTAAAGCCCATGCCATACTCGCATCTGCCACCACACAAGTGATTCTGTCACCATCTTTAAGAATGCTATGTTCTAGAAGCTTCTCGAACTCCGCTTTCATGGTCTTCAGCATTGCCAAACATAACCTGGCAACGTCATTTCTGTCATCTTCGGGTCCCATACCATCTGGAATTGACACTAATGTGAAAGGCAAGCTCTCCTCAGTCTCTTCCATATTCATTGCCTTCAACATTCTCTTGTGGTTGTAATCAGAGTTGGCAAAGGTGATTTTGAAGCCATTTTGGGCTAATTTATGAGAGAGGTTCATTAGACAATTGACATGTCCTTGAGCAGGAAAGGGTAAAACCACAACATGGGGTCTGCTCATTCTCTATGTCTGCTGATGATCACAATGGCTATGGATGTGTGTCGACAGGAAGAGCTATATTGTGGTTTATTTTATAGACAACAATGTGGGGAGAGGATAAGTTTCTTTCACTTATGATATTAATTAGTTTGTTGAATTCTCACAGAAATTTCAGTACTCTTTTGCTTTATTGGAAAATAAACGGATAAACTGGCAAGTCAAAGAAAGGTACAAAGGAAGCATTTATTAGATTCAGTATGCGTGAGTCAAAAGTTACGTTCCTAGCTACCATAATTATTACCCCCTTTGTTTAAGAAGAAAATTTTTTTTAATCTTGGAAGTAGTAAAACATTGACCACGTTTTAATTTTTTAAAAAAAATTTATTGTATTAAAACATTTCTGACATTATTTCCATAAATAAGAGGGTAATGAAAAAATGTGAATTCATATGCTGCTTTAAACTTCCAAAAGGACAAATAAAATAAAAACAAAAATTTTTCTTCTAAGTATACTTATATTATGAACCTGAGGGGGTAATAATTTTTGCATTTAATATAAATGCTTGCAATTTCACATCAATTCTCACAATATCTTTAGTTATTAGTGCAGGTTTTCTGCAATCGGATCATGAAACTTCATGAATGGTGGCTCTCTCCAAGAGCCAACCTCGATCCATTTCGGTTGGAGCTCATGGCACTCCGACAAGGCCTTCTTTTAGTTACTGAATTAACGAGATTTTTTTATTGTGAACCATAGGAGTACATAAACTTGAAATGAGATATACGGAGGCCTCGTTTGACAGAACGTTTAAAATCTCCTATAAGCATATTTTATATAAGTTGAGATAAAATTCATTTCACATACTTGTTTCGTATTTTATAAATCACTATTAAAAAACAGTTTATAACTTATTTATAAACTGTTCCAACCGGATCCGGAATGGAAGAGAAGCTCTAGAGGCAGAAGCAGAATTGAGAAGTTAGTATGAGGGTGATGGCGGAGAAGTTGAGAAGGTTTGAGAGTGAAAAGGAGGTAAGCCAGATTAGAAACGAAGACCTTGTTATAAATGTTGGCTCTAGGTGTGTCAGAAAGAAGTCCTTTTGACACGCCTCTTTCTTCTTGTGAATAGATGTCTTATTTTAAGACACAGTTAGATCCTCAGGACAAACGCTGGTGACATGCTTAACTGTAACGTATTACCTTCCGTCCTAATTATAAAACTCAGTTGATTAATTTAAAGAGATTAACGAAAGAAGTTAAGTTAGTTATTTGTAATAAATAGATGTCGTTTTTCCTAAAATATCCCTATTAATCAACTATATTGGTTAGAACTATCATTATTAGAAGGACTACTTTGAAAAAAAATACATAAATATGAGAGACAAAGTGGATTAGGGTCTTATATTTAGAACCAAAATAAAAGTCAAAGAAATTCTTATATTAAGAACCGGAGGTAGTACTATATTTAAAAAAAATTATAATAAAATATACATGAATAAAATAATATTTTATTTTTTTGAAAAACAATCTTTTCCGCCGAGTTTGGTGGAAAAGACGGGAGGGAGGGAGTTGTACTAAATGAAAGAAGAATTTTGGAGAGTTGTAATTAATGAAGTTGAAAAATGGGGCGTATTAATTGAGGGGGAAAGAGGAGGGAGGACGCGGTTGAATAAAATGATATAGGGGGCGGTGTAGGTTCAAGGACAACAAGGGAGAAAAATAAATGCAAGCGTGTTAAACGTTTTGGAAAGGCAGAGGGAAAGGTAGAAGGAGAGCAGCGTGAGAGAAGCAGAAGTACTAGTATTTAGAAGGATAATATAAGTTTTGAAGATTATTAATATAAAATATTTTCTATATATTTAGAGCTTTATATTATTAATATTATTATAATATTTAGAGAAAATTTTACAATTTAGATATAGAGTAAATATGAAATTTTGATAATATATGACCGTAGAAATTTAAAAACACATTATTAAGAAATTTTAATCGGTTTATATTTGTTTAATGATTCTTTTAAGAAATATAAATTAAGATTTTATTTGAAAAATTTGTTATTTAAAACCTATAGAATGTTTTTACCAATTAAATTTAAGTTAAATAATTTATTTGAGTTATTTAATATATTATTGAGATTTTAATTGATTTAAATATTGAATAAGTTAAAAATCTATTGTTGAAATAATTTTTGAAGGCTTGAAAAATTATAAATTGAGAATTTTAATATAAAATATTTAGATTTGGGGTCATAAATATTAAGTTATTAATTTTAAATATTTTCTTATGTGAACAAAAGTTTGTTTCCAAATAATATTGGGTGAGTTAATATATTTCTGTAACTTTAATTTAGAGGGTAGCATTAGAATTTTAAAATAATTTTAGAATAGTTTTGTTATATATTAATAAATATTTATGTGTAATTTTGTAGACTCTTGAGAATTTTAGAGTAATCATTATGTGAATATTTGTAAGTTCAAGAGTAATAGGTAACTTTGAAAATTCTCTCATGTACATGTGAATTGTGTATGATTATATTTTGGATTTACTAATTTGTATTATACCATATTAAAATATATGTATGTATTATGACTTTTCAAATAAATGTTTTAATATGTTACTTTAATTTGTTAAGATTTATTGCTATTAATTATGATCAATATTTAAATATATTAATAGTTATTGATACAGAAATTTTATTGTTATCTTATTTTTAATAATATACAAGACGTACGTATGATGTAACATTATTTGTATATAACATATGTATTGTTACGCTAAGAATAGAAAGAGATTTGCATAAATATAAAATTACCATGTGGTATGCCATCACTCAGTGCATAATGGATGGCACTTGTTAGGACCTTTTTCTTCCATGTTTTTGTTTGGCCGGGAATTTATTGGAAATGTGGGATATGTGATACCTCCTTATTTTATTTGCAAAGGAAGGGAACCATAGTCCAAACTTGAGTTTTATATCTTTAGTTGGATATATCTCTAGTTTTGGTGAGTTTGGAATAATTCAGTAAAATAGATTAGTTCCTATTAGACTATGTGTTAGCCTATGGCTTTAATTAGCGATATAAGAGTGGACGGTGATATAAGGAAGGATACATATTGCATTATTTTTGGATATATTAGAAAATAATGTTGGGATATTGTTGAATTAAAAATAAAATTAAGGTGAATGTATAAATCCATGATTTTCATATACAAATATATATATGTGTGATCGGATTTTTGTGTGTCATATGTGATTTGTTTGTATAGGTTAAAATTTCAGTAGTTATTGAGACGTTAGATTTCATCTCTTATATTAACAATTTTCATGTTAATGATCTAGTAGGAATTAAGGGAAGGTACCAATTGAATAAGCCGTGAAGATTTATATACTTCTTAAACACATGTTATGTTAAATTTTTATTTACCATGACTATAAGACTTTAATAGTTTATTTTATTAAGTGATGACTAAAAAATGTTTTTGAAATTATAACTTGTACGAAAAGCTAGAAATACATAAGGACTTTTAAATACAATATTATATTTATTAAAATAGATATAATTATCATAGTATATAAAAAGAGGTGACTGTAAGGACAAGAACAAGGACCCGCTATTGAAGTGTTTTTTTTTTTTTTTTGGCTATTGAAGTGTTTAAGCATTCTTTTTTCTAAGAAAAAACCTTTTGTCTCTTGCTAAATTCCTTTACCTTTCAAAATATTGTTAACACATTGGATATGAAGTTCAACACTTTAAATATATTACAGAAGTGAAAATACGAATTAATCACATGATTAGGGCCTCGTTTAAATCACATTTACAAGAATATTTTACGTAAGTCGAGATAAAATTCTGTTCACATATTTACCTCGTATTCATAAATCACAGTTAAAAAATTACTTATAAATAATTCTAAACAACAGATCTTAACATGTCTGCCATTACAAATAGTTTAAGGAGATGAACGAAGAGGAGAGATCATCCCAGAGTTCTGCGAAGTTTAGTCAACAAATGATAATAACTTGAGAGAGAAGCTCTGCGGAGTTACGTACGTGCACAGTCAACTGAACGTTTTTGGGAGAACTCTCGTGAAAGTTTGTGTGGCCTTCCTTTAATTCGATCTTTTTTATTAAGCTATGTGCGTACTTTTCAATGCTTTGAATTCATATATGATGAGTCATACAGCTTTTTCATTTATTGCTATGGGAGTCGATGGCAGATTATGCATGGTTCTGAATTATGATGGACCAGAGGCAGTATTATATTATTACTATGCTTAACAGATGCAGAATGGAAAAATTAGAGTTATTTATTGGGAAAATCTAAAAAAAGTGACTACTGAATTTCAAAATACCAAATCAGGAATTATTATAAAAATAGGTTGTCATTTGCTCTTTGAATGTAGTCATTTTCTTTATAAGTGTAGTAACCAATACTAATTTAGAATTTTGAAATTCAGCTATCACTTTTTTGGGATTTTCTAATGACTACATTCAAAGAGCAAATGACAATCTATTTTTGTAATAATTCCCGATTTAGCATTTTGAAATTCAGTAGTCACTTTTTTGAGATTTTCCCTTATTTATTTTCATATTCCCTCACCAACCTCATAAGTATTAATCTTTTTTTTTTTTTGGCTCGCTTTCTATTAGTCAAGTTTCAGTTTCAATTTAGCGTAGCTAAAAAAACAAAGTATAGTTCAAAGAGTAATAACAAGTCAACAACATGAATTTTATTCTTATTATAAAATTTTTTTGGGTGAATAACATCGAAGTCAAACATCTCATTGTTTAACGCATTCCACAAACTTTAAGAAATTCTGAAATGAGACACCCCCCTCTGTTAAGTTATTGCTGATGATCTTTTTCAGCTTCATGGACCTTCCCTTTATGCTTTCATCTTCAAGCAACATGTCCACTTTTCTCTTGATTTCATGGCGCGAGATCAGTCCTTGATCATCAAAATCAAATCCCAGTCCAACCTTCCAGGCTTCACAAGTATAAATCTTGTCAAAAAAATGGTCACCAAAATATGGCCAACACAGAAAAGGCACCCCATTGCTCAAACCTTCCATGACAGAATTCCAACCACAATGGCTAACAAAGCAAGCTATTGCAGGGTGGCTCAAAACATCATGTTGAGGTGCCCAGTTAACAATTTTCCCATTTTTGCCTTTAAACCCATCTGGGTATGCCAATTTCGAGCCTTTGTCTTTGTCATTTTCCCTAACAACCCAAAGAAAAGGCCTTTGAGTAAGCTCAAGTCCAAGAGCTAGCTCTTGAAACTGGCTTGTATTGAACTCAGTGAAGCTGCCAAAGGCAACGTATATGACAGAACAAGGAGGCTGCTGATCTAGCCATTTCAAGCATGATTTGTCCTCTTCCCAGAATTGTCCAAGTGACTGAGTACTTAAGCTCTCATGGCTCTTCATTAATGGACCAATGGGCAGGATCTTGGGGTATAAAGAAAAAGCTCCAGGCTCAAGTTCGTAAATGGAATTACAAAGCCACCAATCTGTCAAGTTTGAAGCCCTTACTATCCTTAAAATGTAACTGAATATAATCTTTTGAGAGGTTGAGTCTCCTATACAACACCATGGAATGTGAGCTGTGTTCATCTTAGGAATATCTAGGGAGAGCTCGAATTCTCCTTTTACAATTGGGATTCCTATAATGACAAGAGGCATCAAGCTTCGTCAAAACATAAACGAACAACATACCAAAGTTTCCAAAGTAACAAAGATATGCACGTCAATAAATTAAGGTCCTGGAAATAGCATGATTGATTGAACTGGTCAAAATGATAATTTAAGAGTCAATGGTCTAAGTATGACTGAATTGGGGTCAACCAATCATTATTAAAATAATATAACTTAAATAAAATATATAATTTCAGGCCAAAAAAATAAAATATATAATTAAAGTATGTAAAACATTTACAAGTAACCCTAAAAAGTTTTATTTAAATGAAATGTATAAATCACTCATAATTTAACAAAACAAAATTACTAAAGCACAAATTTAATGGATTGTTATTTAGTCTTAATACAAAAGAGAGTCATTTCAGGTTTAACGATGGGGAAAATATAAAATTCAATCCGATCACTAGTCAGGAAACTAGTTCACCAATTCACTAGTCAGATTATCCAATTCAGATTGAGTTTTAATATCATGTAATAAATATTGTCCTGTGAAAAAGAAGAAAGGGAAAAGATATATAACCATCAGAATCTATGAGTCCATCCTGAATGAGCTTTGGCGCATGAAGTTTCAAGGCTAAAAGAGCTGCAGATGCAGTACAGATGACAGCAGCGTTAATACCAAACTTATGGGCAACTTCTAAGGCCCATGCCATACTCACATCTGCCACTACACAAGTGATTCTGTCACCACATTCAGTATTGTTATTTTCTAGAAGCTTCTCGAACTCCGAGTACATGGTGCTCAGCATCGCCAAACATAACCTGGCAAGGTCATTCCTGTCATCTTCAGGTCCCATACCATCTGGGATTGAAACAAATCTCAAAGTCAACCTCTCCTTAATCTCATCATCCTTCATTGCCTTCATCATTCTCTTGTGGTTGTAATCTGAGTTGACGAAGGTGATTTTGAGGCCATTTTGGGCTAATTTATGAGAGACGTTCATGAGACAATTGACATGTCCTTGAGCAGGAAAGGGTAAAACCAGAACATGGGGTCTGCTCATTCTGTGTGTTGCTGATTATCACAATGGCCTACGCAAGGAGAAGAGATTGTTCTGTTTAATCTTATAGACACAGGAGTGTAATGGTGGAGCTAGGCATCATAGATAAAATAATTAATGCTGGGGGAAACTTAAGTATTTTCACTCTTGACATTGATTAGGTTGTTTAATTCTCACAGAAATTTTAGTTCTCTTTTGCTTTGCTAAGAAAATAATAAGTTAATAATTGACAGAAGTCAAAGGAAATTAAAAAGAAGCATTTATTAGATTCAATGCATGAGCTAAAAGTATACTCCTCTGAGTTGTTAATAATAATTACTCCCTCTGTTTAAATTTATTCTTAATTTATTGCATTGAAACATTTTGATATTACTCACATAAATAAGGTTGTAATAAAATAATGTTATTTTATATTGCTTTAAACTTCTAAAACGAAAAATAAATAAAACAAAAAATTTCATCAAAAAATATTTTTATTATGAAATTGAGGGAGTAATAATTTTGTGCATTCGCTGTAAATGTTTATAATTTCACATTAATTCTTACAATATCTTTAACTAGTAATTAAAAAAAATTTCCTTTGGTAAAGAAAGAAATTTTTGAAAAATTTTAAGTGAGAAATTTTTTAGAAATCAGAATTATGTTAAAAATAAAATCATTATTAAATTAGTCAGATTTAATTTTTTTTTCCTCAATTTTTTTCAAAGGCGTATTTAAAAAGTTTTTACAAATCCTCCACATATTTAATGTCACATCTACCTTTTAATTAATTTTTTTGGGGTCCATATGAGATGGTTAAATCAAAATTATACAGTAAACAGGAGGAATATATGCGCATCGATAGTTGAATTGGGCTTAGTTGAGATAAACTTGAGAGAGATGGAGGGAAAACGTTCAGAGACAGAAGTGAGATATCACAAAATGGTGTTTGGAAGAAAAAGACAGAAAGCTCGATCGAAGAAGGTAAGCCACATCAGACACGAACGACTCAGAATTAAAAGCAATCAATCTATGTGATGACAAGCCATTGCAGGAGGTCAATGAAGCAATTATAAACCATTATCTGCTGAACTTAGAACCTGATTATGAACTAACATAAAATTATGTCAACTGTTATCTTTTTTTGTTGCGGATGTTCAGGTTTTATATTTGGAAGCTAAACAAACCCCTCAACTATCTCTTACATTTAAGATCACAGAGAATATATCTAATTATAAAGCTTCAACCAGACAGACCCAACAGTTCCATTTCTTTCTCATTCAAAGTCCACTCATTCTCATAAACACAATCTGCGTCTCCATCTTTGCCCAAGTTTAGAGAATTCACCACTGAGCATCAGACAGAGATCCTAAATATATTGACAATGCTACCTTGATAGAATGTTTTTGTAATTATGAATTTGTGATGGCATAGCTTTTGAAATTATCAGAAGATGCTGCATTGGAGAAAAAGCTACTCGTCATCCTCTGGTGGATCAAAATCTTTAACCTTTACATCTGCATCTTCTCCATACTGAATACAATTATCAATTTGGGCCAACACATATCGTATGCTGCAAAATGGAAACAAGCCATCATTAAGACAACCATTCTGTTTTTAAATTCAATTTCACAACAGGAATTTCAGGATGAGAATGCATCACAATTCATATTATGTACAAACACATATAGTATGTTCACGAAGATAATAAAATAAACCATGTTTTCTTAGGTTGCATTTCGTATCAGAACAAGAAATTACATTTAAAAACATGTAAAAATGGCAAGGATATGGAATCCTCGTTGGAAAACAAACGGCAACACGATAATGAAAGAAAAATAGGCATTCAGCAAAACACCAGATTATCCGAGAGAGACACTCCCTTTTAGAAAGGCTAAGATAAAACACCAAAGATAAGTTATACTGCCACATCATTCTCAAGATGTTGAACTTATATTCTCCCCGTAGCATGCACCAACAAGCCTTATTCCCCTAAGCAGAGTCGGCTATATCCTGCATTAGATATACTTGTGAAAAAAAATTCTAAAGTTTTCTGCGGAAACCCACTAATCAATTGGAAGCCAGTTTCTTTTGTGAGAGCAAATCCAAGCGGATTTTACTTTTTAGGTTTAACCGCATCCAAATCCTTTGACCAAGAGTAATCTCATAGGCACGACTCTATAGGGCTAAGCCATTAAGGGAAAGCATAAGCTACAAAAGACATATTCAGCAGTTGCACCTCTGCCAAACTATAAAACACTTGCACCAACTCAATCCCAACTCAACACCCAATTTTAAAGATTCAGCACCATTTCTGTTATTACTTATTAAAGACCCCATGTTTGTAGCCATGATGTTCAAAGTCACTTATTAACCAACACGGATGGATACTACACCCAAGGGCAAAACAGATTATTTATATCAAGAGCAGTCTGAGAGACACGGAGCAAACCTGCTTTCCTTCCTCAAGTCCAGTGGAATAAAACTCACCATGCTATAGTCATTCACCTATAAGAAAAACAAAAATAAATATGCTGAAAAAAAGATAATAAGAAGCATCGTAGAGTTCAAACAAAAAAATCAAAGGAAGCCTCAACCTTGAGGGTATGTTCAGGAACGACGTCATAAAACGAGAAGACAATGGAATGACGGTCATAAAAAATTTTAGGAATCAAATCATTATTCCAATCTCAATGTTAAACAAAATACATAGCAAATTTGTCCATTCAACAATACACATACTAAACTTCATAAAAAACCATTGAACTATAAACTGAAATTATCCATCATAAGAGGAATTTTGAACAATTTTTACAATGACAAACGAACTAGAACTTGTCAGGTCAAGCATAATGGCAGTTGACAACCAGACTAAGCATGAGTGATGACAGGCTCGCAACACATAATTGAGGAAAAAAACTGTATATTTTACTAAGAACATAAATTACCCACCAATTCAATCAAAGCTTTATTCAGCTTTGCAAACTGAGGAGCCATCCGTTGATTCAATTCAGACAACAAAAAGCGGGGTTCTGGATCCAAAAATCTAAAAATAATACAGATTCAGGATATATTAGGATTTCAACGTATGAGGATGGTCAGATGAATGAAATATTAATAACAGAACTCACTCTTCTAAATCCCTTTTGTTAGTCACAAGGTCCATTTTAGAGAGAATATTAACATGGGGTAATTCCAATTGAACCATTGCAGAAAGGCAAGCCATGCATCCACTTATAAATTTGGTGACATCTGTCATGAACTAACAGATAGAAAACTATAAAGTTAAGCAAACATTATGAAAAACTATGATAGAAAGTATACAGTATGTATTAAAAAAAGGGACCAAAATATAACACCTGTGAGTCAAGCAAGTATACTGCACAAACATTGAAATTTTTACGTTTCAAATGTTCAACAAAATTCCGAAGCACTGGCACATGTGAATAAAGCTCTATCTGACCTGAAAAACATTACAATTACAAGCCTATGTTAAAGTAATTCATTTTTCTGATCGCTTTTAACCAGAAAATTTTATAAACAATTTAACAATAGAAAAGATAAATGTTGAATGAAACAAAAAAAAAAAAGTGGACATGCATTAGTTTTACCAATGCACCCAATACATAATTAGTTCTAGAAGATGCTGATTTTGACATGCGCATTAGATGTGGTATCTCACCTCTTTTGATTTCACTATCTTGAAATTATTACAATATATTTAATAATTAGTGAACTAACTAATCATGGTAATCTGTCAAATAGCAATAAATGATTGAATGAAAAGTTTAATGATGTGGCATGAATACCAGGGCAGTCGAAAACCAAGTAATCATCATCTAAGTAATTGTCCAGTTCTTCTGTGAACCAATTATCCAGATTTTCTTCAAGGTGTCTAAATGTGATTATTAAGGCCACAAAATTGTCAAAAATAATGCTTAAAATAGTTAGCAAATACATAAAAAGGGATGAAGATACAACAAGATAACAGTAAAGAGATAATTCATAATCACATTCTCTAGCTCAGTAACCTATCGTAAAATATATACAGAATCTTGCTTCAGGCAAGGGTGTTAAGAACTTTGCCAAATGAAAAATTAGAAAATGAACGAACCAAGACAAAAGCAAAAACGAAATAAGAAACCCTGGATTTTGCTGAAAGACACAGAAAAGGATACTCCATGCAGTACATAAGACCCCCATTAGGCCCTAACCCAAGTTCCTCCATGACATCGTCCAAAGAAATGAGTTCCCTTATATCTGCAAGTATTCCAATGTAAAGAAGTTAAACCCTTGCAACTATAATCGATAACTCAGAAAAGAAATAAACAAGTCCCACAATGTATTTACCCATTGCCACAGGATAGTCAAAATTTTCAGCGGCAGGGTCCAAGTTCACAACATGCATTGTCCGACGCACAGCTTCACAATGTTGGTACAAACTTGAGCAATATGTGGACTAATACACAACGTAAAATGCATACACCAATCAGGATCCAAGCACACACACAAACATAGCACATACAGGAAAAACTCATCCAGTTTAACAAATAACAGGACAAAGGAAATGAATAATAGAAATTACCTTGCCACTACCAGCGGGACCTATCACAAGCTGAGCATAACCCATGATTGATTGATCAGCGTTCAATCAGTTTTCCTCAGAATCAAAATCAAGAGGGCAAAGCAACAGCTCCAGTGGTGGCAAGAACTCCACCAGTTATGTAAGCAATACACTGAACCCCAATGGCAAAATACAAATTTAGAAGATCAGATTAGGCCATAAAGGGCAGGCACCCAAGATAGAGATAGAGAAACAGTAAAAGGAAACCTTAATTGTAAATATCCAATATAACAGAAAGGAAAAGAAATATATGAAAAACTTCGTTAGAATGTAAAAAACCTCCCTAAACTTTGCCTCATATGTGGATAACCCCCTAAAACATACATAAATAATCCCTGGCCTTTAAAACTAGATACTGGACCGCCCAAAACATGAAATATTTGTAACATCTTGATGTTAGTCCAATATTTTACTAACAGAAACATGACATTAAGTTGCATATAACCCAAAATTCATGAAAATTATCCGCACAACATAATTAAATTTCAATGGAGTTACCAGTACACAAAGTGAAGTTTAGAATATCGCTTATTCTAACACGTAGCGATGATATGCTTGTGACCCATCAAAACTAGCATATTATTCCAAACACATTATGGTAATCCCCTAATTAACATAAACAAAAATGAAAGGTAAATAGTGCAAAATTAATCGCCACAATAAGAAAAACTAATGGACCATCCTTTTCCATGAGTATGCTTATATCCACTATGCTTTCATCCATTAAGTAATTTATCTCATTCAAGGTATTATCATCTGACAATATCAAACCAATAAACCATCAAAAGAGCACCCAAAACAATATCCTTGTCAGGGTCCAACACAGTGAACAAAAACAAATATAAATTGCGGGCATGAGACATTCTTTGACAGCACAGCCTACAAACAAACAACCTGGAACATCTTCCACACACTGAACGTGAAAATGGGAAAGATGAAACAGGGAGCTTCTTAAAGAAACTTAAATATTACAATCACTCAGCAAAGTAAGGAACCCAGAAAATCAAATGATGCTGAGAAGGTAAGGGGTTGTACAAAATTTTGCAAGGTTACCTCTATGAATCAAGGAAGCTTCCTCTTCCTTCACTCACTGCAAGTCAACAGGAAAGAGATCCTTTCCAGTTTCCAAATGCAAGAATAGCGACCGACTTAAAAAATTCGAAAAGGAGGCCTATATAAGCTTACTAATAAAGGGACCCTTTTTTCAGGCTCTCTATTACAAATTGACACTATCTCCCTCTGCTTAGAGTTTCCTCTCTCTCCGCTGGGCTTCTCTGTTCAAACTCCCTCCTGCTTGAAGAAGTGGTCTCCCGTTCCCAGTTCACCAGACCTTCCTTCTCGCGCCAGGCGCCAGCCCTATTCTCTGCACTCTGAAGTCGACGCGTTATGGGCTCAAAGATTGAACAGAACGGGGTTAAACGCCAAAACTTCCAGCGTTTAATCCTTCTTAAAACTTCAGTTCTTCTTCCCCTTTTTCTGGTCATTTTTTTTAATTTATTACGCACACAATATCTGTGTTGCTTTTATATTTTAAGAATATTAAAATCTAAAATACTACCCATTGAGCAAAAATGAAGAGAAGAGAAAAGTTGAGAAAAGAAAAAAAAATAGTTAATTTCAAATGAACTATAACGACCTTATTATCTTTAAGAGAACATTTATGTATCAAAAAATTTATTATTCTTTCATATTATTTATATAATGTTTATCACATATTATTAATAATAATTCTAAATGGAACAAGCAAAGACGCTTATAAACCATGAACAAAGATGGAGAGGATGGGAAGGAAAAAGGGCCAAACGATGAAAAATATTGACGGACAATTTTGGGGGGGAAAAGGTTTTTTTTTTTACAAAAATATCTTAAAATAATTGAAAGTTGTTATTTATTTTCTCAAGTTTTCTTTTCCTTCCACTTTTCTCTCATTAACTAAGCGAGGAAACTGCTAATTTTCCTTTTTACTCTTACATCAGACTTTTATCGAATATATTTTGAACTTTTTTGTATCTTTAATTTTTGGAAGATAATTTTTTTTTTTGGTGAGTATAAGAAATATCATCTGCTGACATTAGAGAATAGGCTGCTGAAGACCAAGGATAGACCCCTCTCAATTAAATCACCACGTACAAAAGGATTGTGATTTTTTTTTTAAAGATAAATTTCAAGGAAGAAAATTACATTTTTGAAAATATTTTTACGCTCTCTCTTGTTTTTCCCCTAAAAAACAAAAGACTAATTATATAATGATAACAGAGAAGAGAGAAAAGTCCAGGAGAATGCATTCAACAAACGTAATGATTCCCAGTACACTGATTATAACCTCCCTCTCTATTCGCATCGCGCATATTCCCTCTCTCCTCTAACTAACTCTATATCCAACTTACCGATATGCCCTTCCCAAACAGATAAGACAAACTATAAGGTAACTATAAAATAACATAAGGAATAGCACGTATCAATACTCCCCCCCTCAAAAAGGATCCTTGTCCACAAGGATGGTGTTGGTCGGAGGAGCCTTAGTCTGGAATTGAGGAAATTGTTGTTGAATCACCGAAAGATCTTCCCAAGTAGCATCTTCAGCCTGAGAAAATTTCCAACGCACTAATACTTGCGTCACTGGTAGATGATTACGCTTGACAACCTTTCTGCCCAATATTTCTTCTGGTTCTAACATGAAGTTCCCTTGATCATCAATAGGTGGCAAAGTAGAGGCCACGTTAGCAACTGATCCAGCATGTTTCTTGAGGAGAGAGACATGGAAAACAGGGTGTACTCTAGTCTCGTTTGGTAATTGCAGCTTATAAGCAACAGGCCCCACTTTCTGAATAACTTTAAAAGGGCCAAAATAACGGGCAGCTAACTTGTGCAGGGAGGAATTATTGATTAAATTCCTGCGGAAAGGATGGAGTTTGAGGTAAACCATATCACCCACCCCAAAATGGCGTTCAGTTCGATGCTTGTTAGCTTGTTGTACCATTCGATGCTGAGCTTTCAACAAATGTTGCTTGAGAAGTTGAAGCACCATTTCCCTAGCAAGGCAAGTCCGATCAACTAGGTCATTAGGAGAATCCCCAGCAATGTACGGTAAATGAATTGGAGGAGAAACCCCATAAACAGCCTCAAAAGGTGTCATTCCAATAGCAGAATGATATGTAGTATTATACCACAATTCAGCAAGTGGCAACCATTTGACCCACTGCTTAGGGAAATCACCAGTCATGCAACGGAGATAACACTCCAAACAACGGTTGAGAACCTCTGTTTGACCATCTGTTTGAGGATGGTAGGCAGAAGAATAGTGCAGCTTAACTCCATACAACCTAAATAACTCCTTCCAAAATTTTCCACAAAAAATTGGATCTCTGTCCGTCACTATAGACTTAGGGAACCCATGCAACTTGACTACATTGTCCAGAAACAACTGAGCTACTTCCACGGCTGTAAAGGGATGTTTTAATGGAATAAAGTGAGCAGCTTTGGATAGTCTATCAACTACCACTAGGATTGTAGTCTTAGAGTAGGATTTTAGCAGCCCACTAATGAAATCCATAGACAACTCAGCCCAAATATGCTCTGGTATAGGTAAGGGCTGAAGTAACCCTGGTGAAGCAACCAATTCAGGTTTAAATCTTTGACAAACATTGCATTCTCGAACAAAGTTTCGAACATCCTTCTCCATTCCCTTCCAGTAGAAAAAAGAAGAGAGACGTTTAAAAGTAGGATGCATACCAGAATGAGCCCCAATTCCATCAGCATGAAAGTAATGGAGCAAGTCATGACGAAGTCCTCGATCAGCTCCTACCACCAGTTTCCCATTTCGCTTAAGTAAGTGATGCTGCCAGGTATATTTAGAATGCGATGAAAAGTCTTGCTCCGGGTCCTTAATTATTTGCTGCAATTGGTCATCAATCAACCAAGAATCCCTCACTCTTTCATAAAGAGGAGACACTGGAACTGTAACAGCAAAACAAATTCCTTCAGCTCTACGAGAAAGAGCATCCGCAGCAGCATTATCACTCCCTTTTCAATACAGAATTTCGTAATGTAAGCCCCACAGTTTATGAAGCCACTTAAATTGATCAGGACTCAAATCTTTTTGTTCCAATAAATGTTTCAGAGGCAAGTGATCAGTTTTAATCAGAAATTTACGCCCACATAAGTAGGATCTCCACTGTTTCACAGCAAAAATAATTGCAAGTAGTTCCCGTTCATAGGCTGATAAGGGCTTCTTTTTAGGGGCCAATGCCTTGCTAGCAAAAGCTATCGGGTGTCCATTCTGGGATAGAATAGCTCCTAACCCAAAACCAGAAGCATCAGTTTCAACCACAAAAGTCTCATCAAAGTTAGGAAGCACAAGTACAGGGGGTGAAGTCATGATCTGTTTCAGTTTATTGAAAGAATCAGCAGCAGCTTCGGTCCAAATAAAAGGCATACTCTTCTTTAATAAATCAGTCAAGGGCTGACTAATAATACCATAATTGCGTATGAATCTTCTATAATAACCTGTAAGGCCGAGAAAACCCCTTAATTCTCTGATAGTATTCGGTTTAGGCCATGCAGTAATAGCGTCTAGCTTCCGTGGGTCAGCCTGAACTCCTTTGGCAGAGATAAGATGACCCAAATAGTTTATTTGAGTAGCAGCAAAGATACATTTGGAGACCTTGGCATATAACTGGTGATGTCTCAATGTTAACAAAACAGTCTCCAAGTGCTGAAGATGAGAAACCCAATCTTTACTGTAGACAAGTATGTCATCAAAGAAAACAAGTATGAATTTCCGCAAAAAAGCTTTGAAAATAGAATTCATAAGGCCTTGAAAGGTAGCTGGGGCATTTGTCAGCCCAAAAGGCATAACAAGGAATTCATAGAGCCCTTCATGTGTTTTGAAAGCCGTTTTATGGATGTCATCCATCTTCATACGGATCTGGTGATACCCTGCCCTTAGATCCAGTTTGGAGAAATAAGTAGCCCCTGTTAACTCCTCGAGCAGCTCTTCGATCACTGGAATAGGGAATTTATTCTTAATGGTTGCCTCATTTAACTTCCTGTAGTCAACACAAAAACGCCAAGCCCCTTCCTTCTTTTGAACCAGCACGACTGGAGCGGCAAATGAACTAGAGCTCTCCCTGATAATGCCATTAGAAAGCATATCTTGAACCTGTTTTTCGATTTCGGTTTTCTGAGCAGGGCCATATCTATACGGCCGGCAACTTATCGGTTTGTCATTCTGAAGAGGAATAGAATGATCAAACTTACGGGAGGGTGGCAGACCTTTTGGCTTAGCAAACACATCAACAAATTTTTCCAAGAGCTGCTGTAATTCCTGTTGTTGAATCTCGGATAGAGGGGATGAAGCATTCAACCCCAAATGCATATGAGAGGAATCATGAATCAAGAAGAAATGGGCGGCCACTACCAGGTCACGAACAGAGTAAATTTCCTCAGCTTGTGTAATTGCATTATAACCAATGCCATGCAACTCAAGTAGCTTCCCGTTAACTTTAAACTCGAAAATTTTGGATTCCATATCCATCGAAAACTTGCCAATGGTGCGTAACCACTGGGTACCCAAAATCATATCATAGCCCCCGATTTTCATAACTAAAAAGTCAGCTGAGAAAGTATTATTACTCATTTCCCATGCAAGGTTCGGGCAATGTTTGTTAACGGTTACCTGGCGTGTATCAGCTACTGTAAGTGTCACCGCACTTCGCTCTTGGGGTTTCAGCTGAAGACGCTTAGCCACAGAAGCGTCAATCACGTTATGAGTACTTCCAGTATCCACTAATATAATGACTTGCTGATTCTTGATACGACCCAAAAGCTTCAAAGTAGACGTGGCTTCCTTTCCTTCTATGGCGTTAATAGTTCCCACGCAATCCCCCGGAACGTCTTCAAGAGCATCCTCAAAATGGTCTTCCTCATCATCAATAATTAGCATGAAAAGGTGGGATTCCTTGCAACGGTGACTGCTCGAATACTTCTCAGGGCACCAATAGCACAAGCCTTTGCGTCGTCGTTCATCCATCTCTTTTTTGGACAGCTGCCGCGAAGGTTTTGAAGAACCAGAGAGTGATGGAGATGATAGTGCGACAGACTGAGAAGTGGGTTTGGGCGAAGACTGGGCTTCGGATGGCGTAGGCCTTGTCTGAGGGAAGAGACTCGAATGTGGGCTAACACTGGAGCCCATAACGATAGGTGACCGAGCCCCAAAAGAGGCGCCTGAGATTCGTGGCGAAGGGGAAAACAGTTTGCGACCCGACGGAGTTGCAGAAGGGGCATTCTCATGTAGCGCCTGGATAGTTCCCTCCTGCATTCGCGCGCAACACATGGCACTAGACAAGGAGGAAGGATGGAAGTTGAGAACGCACTTCTGGATGTC